TCTCAAAAATTCGGCCCCCGGACCCCCCCCCCCCCTCAAATTTGGGATAAAAAGGATTTTTTTAAATTCAGTGGTGAAAACAGGCTTCCATATCAAAGTAATCCTAAATGGAAATGCAGAAATGATATTTGTTGTAGTTTTCATTCGCCACTAACACTAGCTGCTCTATTCTTTTTGTATTCTATCTATTTGTTTTCTTTTTTTTTATTATACAATTAGCAAAAAAAAGGCCTCTAACACTAGCTTGCTCTATTCTTTTTCTATTCTATCTGTTTTCTTTTTATTTATTATATAATAATAAAAAAAAAACCTTGCTAGGTGTACTGCGTTAAGCTAACTGAGACTTGTTACAGCACTTGCATATCATTGCTCTTTTGTTGGTTTTGATTGCTTCCATTGTCCCCCCGTCCCCCCCCCCCCCTCAAATTTGGGATAAAAAGGATTTTTTTAAATTCAGTGGTGAAAACAGGCTTCCATATCAAAGTAATCCTAAATGGAAATGCAGAAATGATATTTGTTGTAGTTTTCATTCGCCACTAACACTAGCTGCTCTATTCTTTTTGTATTCTATCTATTTGTTTTCTTTTTTTTTATTATACAATTAGCAAAAAAAAGGCCTCTAACACTAGCTTGCTCTATTCTTTTTCTATTCTATCTGTTTTCTTTTTATTTATTATATAATAATAAAAAAAAAACCTTGCTAGGTGTACTGCGTTAAGCTAACTGAGACTTGTTACAGCACTTGCATATCATTGCTCTTTTGTTGGTTTTGATTGCTTCCATTGTCCTCATTGGATAAAAGCGTCTGCTAAATGACTAAATGTAGATGTAATGTAAATGAATGCATGACGACTTTTGCTTGTAAAAAAAACGCAGAAATGTTAAAAGGGTCTTTTCGTTCTTCAGTCATCTTCATGCTAATGTAAAGATCATTTTATGTCCATTTATTTGTGTGTAATCTGTGTCGTGTTATATTTTTCTCTCCGTTCAGGGCGAATCTCTTTCAGGAGCTGCTCTTCAGACGGACAAACATAACGCCATCCCATCAGGACTTTCTGTACGAGGGCCGACACCTCGTCTTCGACCCCATCCAGCAGGCTCAGACCTTCCCCAAGACCTCCAGAGAGAATCCCATCATGCTGCTGAGCCGAGACCCTGTCAACACCGTCGGCCTGCTGTTTGAGGACCGTGAGTCTGACGACGCCCCAGTCATGCCATGCTCGCTCATAAGTAAGGGATGTAACCATATCAAAATCTCACGATACGGTATTATTGCGATATGAAGTCCACGGTACAATATGTGACCCTGGAGCACAAAACCAATCTTAAGTGTTAATTTTTTGAAAGTGAGATTTGAATAAATGAATAAATCATCTTTCCATTGATGTATGGTTTGTTAGGATATGACAATATTTGAAAATCTGGAATCTGAGGGTGCAAAAAAATCTAAATATTGAGAAAATCTCCTTTAAAGTTGTTCAAATTAAGTTCTTAGCAATGCATATTACTAATCAAACATTAAGTTTTGATATATTTACGGTAGGAAATAGGGCTGCATGATTATGACAAAAATCATAATTGACGATTATTAATTACAATTATCACAATTTACACTGAATGATGTTTATACCGTTGTTTGATGCAACTGCATGCCGTATTTTTATATGAACATAAACAAGCTGAAAACACTCGAACTGAAAAACCTTTAGTGCTTTTCTATAGTATTAAGCCTCAAATGTCAAATATACATCGGATTGGTTTCTTCTTTAAATTATAAAAATATAAATGGTATTATAGTGTTATAATAAAATAAACATTAAAACAATGGAAAAACCCTTAAGATAACATGTAGAAAGAAAAAAAAGCATCTTAAGCGTGCAGAATAACATAAGTGGACTTTGAACGATTACGTAATTGTGGCATCCATAATTGTAATCGATTAGAAATTCAATTAATTGTGCAGCCCTAGTAGGAAATTTACTAAATATCTTCATGGAACATGATCTTTACTTAATATCCTAATGATTATTGGCATAAAAGAGAAATAGATCATTTTGACACATGCAATGTATTGTGTATATATACGCAGTACACACACATATATTATGTAAACAAAAACTTTTATTTTGGACGCGATTAATCGTTTGACAGTAGGGCTGGGCCCAAATTTTTTTCCCCGATTCTTCAATTAATTTTTTTTTTTAATGACGTCGATTCGATATCGATTCTCAAAAGTTTGAATGAATGGCGGATGGCGCGGCGCACTGTTTTGTTTACTACACGCATACTAAAGCGCGGATGACGCTCGCGGTGTTTTCAGCTTCTGCCGTCTCACTATATGATGATATAAACACGAATGTCATCTCCAGCTGCTCTGAGAGTCACTTCATTAGCATTTTACCGTTTCATTTGAGAAAACTACCGTCATATCACACACACAGCATCTGCAAGTTCCTCACGGCAACCCGTCAAAATAAAAGTTTAGTTTAACATTAAGAAACTGTCAGAATATATTACTATTTAGCGGTCTTAAGACTCAATGCTACTACTGCTAATAAATATGAATAAATCTTTATTTTTAAAGGAATAATCACATCTGTTTTCTTTTTCATTTTAACAGTAAACCGCTGTTGTGCAGCACTTTGTTTGCCGAAAAAATAAAAGGGTTTCATTTTAATTTGATTAGTATAAATTGAATTAATGTTTTATGCATTCATCTGATTACCAGAAAAATTAAGAACATTTTATAAGGCCCTATTAAGGACTCATTAGCATTTTACCGTTTCATTTGAGAAAACTACCGTCATATCACACACACAGCATCTGCAAGTTCCTCACGGCAACCCGTCAAAATAAAAGTTTAGTTTAACATTAAGAAACTGTCAGAATATATTACTATTTAGCGGTCTTAAGACTCAATGCTACTACTGCTAATAAATATGAATAAATCTTTATTTTTAAAGGAATAATCACATCTGTTTTCTTTTTCATTTTAACAGTAAACCGCTGTTGTGCAGCACTTTGTTTGCCGAAAAAATAAAAGGGTTTCATTTTAATTTGATTAGGATAAATTGAATTAATGTTTTATGCCTTCATCTGATTACCAGAAAAATTAAGAACATTTTATAAGGCCCTATTAAGGACCCTATACAAAAAAAAGTATAGGTTTAAAATACAGGCATTTGGTTCTTAATTTCTTTTTATTAATTCACCATTTGTAAACTGATGTTACTGTTAATTTTTTTTAGAATTATCAATAGCATTTGTATTAAAACTATATTCACCGAGTGTAATCAAAAAATCGAGAATCGAATCGAGAGCTTGCGAATCGAATCGGGACATCTGAATAGATACCCAGCCCTATTTAACAGCACTAATCCCTGCTAATAACCGCTCGTTTGCTGATATTAACGATGGCTTGTGTTTGCAGCCAGCCCACCTAAAGTACAGCCGCGCTACGATCTGGATCTAGACGCCAGCTACGCCAAGGTAAGATACGACTTCCGGTCCGTTTAGTGAAATCAGAAGCACGGTGCTGCTTTTAGAGTCTCTTAATCTGAGTTTGGTCAGAAATATGGTTTATTTTAATCACCGCTGGTCGTGTTTCTGCTCAGACGTTCGCAGGTGATGTTGGATATCTGTGGAAGACGTCCGATTCTTTGCTTCTGTACCAGGAGCTGGTGAGGAAAGGTGTCCGAGGCCTGATGTGAGTTCATGAATCAAACCAAACGAAGCGACTCGCGCTGATGAAGCGAACTGAATTTATTACTATTGTCTGCTGCACAACAGAAACCTGTTTCATGATTGAAATTGAACTGGACTGAATCAAGATTAAATGAATTGATCTGAATAATCGCACTATTGTCCTTTATTGAGTCAACACTGAATTGATTCATTTATGACTCAGAGCTGTTTTTGCAGCTGCAATTAAATTTGTTTTATAATTGAACTAAATCAAAATTGAACTGAGTTGATCTGAATAATGGCACTGAATTGAATCAACACTGAACTGAATCATGCTGGATAATGACTCTGAGGTGTTTTAAAGCTGCAATTACGTTTCATTATTGATGAATTTGACAGCATTGACACTGAACTGAATCAAAATTGAACTGAATTGATCCGAATAACGACACTATTATCTTCTGCAGAGCTGCTTTAAGCTGAAATTGAACTTGTCATAGTTGAAATTGAGTCATTGTTGAATTATAGTGAATCTAAATTGAATTGAGCTGAAAACTGTTGTCTTCTATAGAGCTGCTTTAAATTTAATTGGTTTCATAATTGATGAATTTGACATAATTAACCCTTATTGAATTGAACCGATTAAACATTGAACTGAATCATTTTGAATCATTGAACTGAATCAAAATTGAATTGAATTGGTCTGAACAATGACACTGTTGTCTTCTGTAGAGCTGCTTTAAATTTAATTGGTTTCATAATTGATGAATTTTGCATCAACACTTATTGAATTGAACTGACTAAACATTGAACTGAATAAAAATTGAACTAAATTGTTCTGAATAATGACACCATTGTCTTTTGTAGAGCTGATTTACAGCTGAAATTGAATTCCTTTTATAACTGATAGATTTTTTTAACATTAACACTGTTACTGAACTGATTGAACTGAATCATTCTGAAGAATGACTCTATTGTCTTCCGTAGAGCTTCTATACAACTGAAACCGACTCTGTTATTGAACTGAATCGAAACAAAATTGAACTGAATTGATCTGATCAATGACTATTGTCTTCTGTAAAGCTGCTTTACCGCTGAAATTAATTTCATAAGTGAAGAATTTGCAGCATTAACACTGTTACTGAACTGAATCATTCTGAATAATGACTCTATTGTCTTCTGTACAGCTTCTTTACAGCTTTTTTGCAGCCTTATCACTGTTATTTTCCTGTTTATTTGTGTGAAGTGGTCTGTAAGCGCTATATGAACGTTGTGTTTCAGCGAGCTGATCAGAGACGAGTACAGTGAGAAGGCGCACAAGAAGACGGAGGTGATTCACATGTGTAACTACTGCAGCCAGACGCTGGAGCGAACCGAGCAGCTGTGAGTGACGCGTGTTTCAGACGGAGCTCTGAGCGAGATCTCGCCAGATCTTCATGAGCTCCCTGTGTGTGTGTGTGTGTTTCAGGTGTGAGGTTCTGATGCAGGGAAACCTCCTGTCGGCGGAGTGTGAGGAGATCCGGGACACGAGGAAGAAGGTGATGCGGGTGAGATGCTGATGATTCTCAATGTCTCATGAAAGTCTGGGCCCGGTTGCATGAAAGCCCTTAAAGGGATAGTTCACCCAAAAATGAAAATGTGATGTTTATCTGCTTAATGGGTGTGTTGATATCCAGCCGAAGAGCAATCAACCATAACTTCAGGCGAGCAGGCTCAGAAGTTGGGAATACGTGGAAAGTCACCACTACCGAATGAGTTCGCGCGAGAGAACGTAATCTTTTAGTTTTAAGTCGGTTTGAACAATCCGGATAAGCGCAAGTAAGTACCATTTTGATTAGCCGTCGTACCTACAATGACTGCACTGTGTAAACAATGAGTGACGTATACGCGCGAGAGATCACTTCCGGCGCTTGCGTAAACTACGCCAGAGCGCGTACACGCGTGCGCTCAAAGCAGCTGGACATAGTGGTGTATTAGAGGTAAAAATTATATAAATACTGTTGGGTTTCTCGCACAAACTGATCGTTTCGTGTCTTAGGACATCAATGTGTCGTCACGAGCCGCAGGGTTTAATTTGGATTTGTCTGTGCATGTTTTTTTTACTCTCATAGATTTCTGTTCTGTTTATTGTGAGATGTAGTAACTATAGCAACCGTGGCACCCATTGCCATATGTTGCCGGAAACTACAGTGAAACACTTCATATGAACACTTAAGTAAGAGTGATAGTTAAGAAGTTTGTTGCAAAGCTCTTAATGAAATCCCTTGCCTCAGGGAAGTCAAAATACTTAAAGTCCCCTTGATATCAAAATTACAGTGTTTTGGGTGTTAGTATCAATATGTTAGTCTTAAGGTTATCTATAAGGCAGTGTGCTCCAAAACAGTGACAAAATTCACATTTAGAAGATATAAGCATTCAAAACTTGCAGTTCGTCACTTCCGCCAAAAACGGCTCAACGATTTTTTTTTTTTGACGTCACATCGTACTTCAACTTTCTGTCCAATCAAATGCTCTCTAGAATCTGAAGCCCCACCCCCTACACTATAAAATAGACGCTGAAGCCGCGGCTGAAATCGGTCACTTGTCCACTGAGTTAATATTTTCTGTACAGTGAATGGCACGTAGTGCACTATATAGGGGACAGGGAACGATTCAAACAGTGTAAATATGCTTCCATTGAGGAAAAAAAGATTGGCGCTGTGTCACGCTAACCACCGCACCGCACACACACTCTGCTCCGGTCCAGAGACACGATAGCACGGAGCGGATCACATGCGCGAGTCTCTGCAGACCACTAAATGTATCGGAGCTATTTGAATTCTACACAGAATGCTGTATTTTATAGCAATATGGATGAGATTGTGGCTGTCAAATGCGGCTTTACGGAGCTCAACGGCTCTAGCCCAAGCTGTGATATAAATGAACGCTATTGGCTGTTTTAAAAAGGGGCGGGGCTGCTTGATATGTCCCGCCCTGTCTTCCTGTTTCAGTTAAAATGACGTCAGCACAAAGTAAAGCAGCGTGTTTCTAAGCATTTCAGGGGACCTTTAAGGACTTTCATGCAACCGTGAGCTCTTCATGAAAGCGTGTTCATCACGCCTGCTCTGTGTGCAGCTCTCCGGCTCTCTGGGCTCCATGGAGCAAACGCTTCAGGACATCAGCAGCATGTTCCTGCCGGGAGGAAGTCTGACCGATACGTGGACGCAGCAAGTGGGAACGCACCCCGAGGACAGGAAGTGAGTGTCACTGCTTCAGCGTTCATTACCCTGGAGAACCAAACGTCTCATTTCCTCAAAACAAACGGGGCAAAGCGCTGTTCATAACAATGCAAAAAATCAGGTTCTTCCTCATCACATTTGTCTTGTGTTCCAGTACAAATATCTAAACTTAAATTACATTTACATTTATTCATTTAGCAGACGCTTTTATATTGAAGCAACTTAGAAAAAGAAAACATTTTCATTACTCGAAATAAAATAAACTTTAGCCAAACTTTAGGATAAATTTACTGGAGAAGCAAAGTGACTTCAGATATTACGTTTTTGTTTTCCGAATAATATATCAAAATTAAGCTTAAAACAAGAACAAATATCTGCCAGTGGCCAACACTTAATATTTTAAGTCATTTTGCTAATCTAGTAAATGTGTCTTGATTTAAGAATGTTTAGATATTTGTACTGGAGAACGAGACAAAAAATTATTATTGTTATTTTAGTATCATTGAGATATTATTATAGTTTTTGTTAATATTTTGTATTTTTTTATATATTAAAATTTTTTATAAAAAATGTTATATTTTTTTTGTATATTATTATATGTTAATTTTAAAGTTTTACTAATTTTGTTGTGTGTTTTTATTAGTTTCTGTTGTTTTGAAATATGTCTATATAGTCTTTTATTTTTATTTCCGTTTTAGCTTTATTTATTTTAGACCATCAGGTTAAACTAAATGAAAAGTTGCTTTGGAAACTAGCTGGGGGGAAAAAAAATTATATTTAATTTTATATTATTTCAGCTAACATTTATTTTGTTTCAAGTAATGAAAATATTTTTTTATGGCTTCAGTTTTAGTTTTTGTTGACTATACCTGTAGACTATATAATAACATTATTTTTTGCAGTGGACACATTTTAAGTGTGAACTTGAGTTTCTGATTTCTGACTGTGTTTCTGTGTCTCTCGTCTAGTGTGGAGAGGATCAAGGTTCTGCTGGACGCCATCAGCAGCATCTACCAGCAGTTCAAGAAGGACAAGGCCGAGAGACGTGAGTCTGTGAGCCCCTGAGATCTCATCAGCGCTCGTTTGCTTTTTTATGTGTTTGACGTGTCTTATCTCCTCAGGTTTGCCTTATAATGAAGAACAAATCCACAAGTTTGACAAGTGAGTATCGTGTGTGTTCGCTGTAGCTGAAGAACTGAACGCATGTGACGCAGAATCATGATGACACGAATCTCTCTGCTTTCTGCAGGCAAAAGCTGGTTCTTCAAGCCACCAAAGCGCGGGCGCTCTTCACAGACGAGTGCGCCATGAAATATCGCCTCTTCATCTCCAAGAGCGAGGAGTGGATGAAGTAAGAGGCTCTCGTTCAGCAGTCTAGAGCTCACTGAAGCTCACCTGTGATCCAAACAGTCCAACTAGAAATTATTATTACAGTTATAAATGTTATTATTCAGTCATGGCTCTATTTACTGATCATTGTTTTTCATTATATTGCTGTTTCAAGCTGCTTGAGTTCATGTGTTAAGGCACGTTCACACTGAAAAGACAATGATAACTATTAGCATCCACACCAATGGACAATAACTTTAACGATAACTATATTAGCATCCACATCCGTTAACTTTAATGTTAAACATATCAGTGTCCACACAAACTAACAATAACTGCGTTAAGGTCCACACAAATGGACGGTAACGTTAACGTTAAATATATTAGCATCCACACAAATGACCGATAACTTTAACGATAACTATATTAGCATCCACATAAATGACCGATAACTTTAACGATAACTATATTAGCATCCACACAAATGACCGATAACTTTAACGATAACTATATTAGCGTCCATAACGATAACTATATTAGCGTCCACACAAATGGATGTTAACTTTAAATATATGAGTGTCACAGCAAAGGGTCTGAATACTTAGGACCATGTGATATTTCAGTTTTTCTTTTTTAATAAATCTGCAAAAATGTCAACAATTCTGTGTTTTTCTGTCAATATGGGGTGCTGTGTGTACATTAATGAGGAAAAAATTGAACTTAAATGATTTTAGCAAATGGCTGCAATATAACAAAGAGTGAAAAATTTAAGGGGGTCTGAATACTTTCCGTACCCACTGTATATACTAACGTCCACACAAACAGATGATAACTTTGATAACTAAATTAGCGTCCACACAATTGAACAATAACTTTAACGATAACTATATTAGCATCCACACCAAAGGATGATAATTATAACCATAATTGTTTTAGCATCCACTCCAACAGACAATGGCTATAACAATCAACTTTTTGGCGTCCACGCAAATGTATAACTTAAACGATAACTAGATTAGCATCCACACAAACACATGATAACTTTACCGATAACTATTAGTATCCACACAAACGGACGTTAACTTTAACATTAACTATATTAGCATCCATATGAGCGTGAAATATCGTTCTTTTTATTATAATTGTGCTACAGTTTTGTCGTTTAAAGCAGGATAGATTCTGATTGGCTGTTAATGTTTTTATCGTTCATCAGCTGGACACAAATCTCTCTGAAAGCGATTCCAACGATATTGTTCTTCTGCATCGTTATAGTTGTGGTGTGAATTCACTATTCTTACAGAATTTGAACGATTATTAAAACTTTAAAGTGCCCCTATTATGGGTAATGAAAGGTTCATATTTTGGTTTTGGGAGTCTCCAACAACAGGTTGACATTTACTTTCATTGTCTTATAATATGCATTTATCTTTTCCTTACTTGCTCAACGACTCCCAAACGGTTCGCTCAATGATTCATTTTTCCAAATCCCTCCTTTGCGTGACGCTAATCTGCAGTGATTGGTCCGATTGGTCTCATTTTCATTTCATCTCGCCTGTAATACCTGATAAAGCGGCGTTTGTGAGCGCAGTGCTGCTTTGTGTACAGCCTTACCGTGGAAACCTCTATTTTTACCGCTGCAAAAGCGACACCTAGTGGCAAAGAATGAATTTGCATTTTCATTCAGACCAACGCGAAAAGACCAACAAGTGGACGGGCAATATGCTAATGTTTCATGTTGACGTCAACATGAAACGGCTTGGGATTCATTTTAAAAACGACTCGTTTCAATGATTCAGAGTCGACTCTTTCTTTTGAGAGACAATAACTTCATACACGGTGCACTTTCAGATTTAAAACTTTGCAGGATGTTTTCATTCACATAGAGCTGTGTTACACACTGCATGAAAGGTAATTTAAAAAAAATCCATAATAGGGGCACTTTAACATTATAGTTTTTGTCATTAGTGTGAACGGGCCTTTAAGGTGATTTTACCACAGGTAAGTAACCGCAGTAAAACCCCTGTCACATGACCTCTTGTACACCGCTGTATTCTGTGCGCGAGCGCAGTGTCAATGGCTCTTCTGCTGTGTTGCCATGGAAACTGTGTCCGAGATGTTCTGGAGATTGGACGGACACATGCAGTGACTGATGCATGAACGTCTCCTTACAGGAAGTTCCATCACGTGCGGAAGCACCTCCTGTCTCTGACTGGTCAGTTCAGCAGCATGGAACAGGAAGTGACCCTGCTCATGCAGCGCGTGTATCAAGTGAGTAAACAGGAAGTGCTGGGCGTTTAGCTGCGCTGTAACAGCACGCAGACGCTAATGGCTCTCATGTGTGCAGCTGCTGGAGCTGTTACCGCAGAAGATGGTGCCCATGACGTCTGGAGGAATCAAACCGCAGGCGTACCTCAGTCCCAACACACTGGTGGAGATGACGCTGGGGTGAGAGATAAGCACATGTCCGCTGACGCTGATTCACTCAGTCCAGATCATTACAGACTAAAAGCATCATCCCAGCTAACAATTTTTGGTTCCCAAGAATGTTCCCCGTTGGTTAGCCAGGAAAGTTTTCTGAACGTAAATAGAACGTTCCAGAATGTTTTCTTCAATTAGACGTGTCAAGTCACTTGATTAGTTTCTGAATGAATCAGCCGTTTGAACGAATCAATTGAATGAATGACTGAACGACTCACTCCTTAAAACAGCGACTTGCTGCCACCTACTGGCGCATTTACTTTTATATTTAGAGTATAATTTCTAGGGCTGCCCCCAACTAAAGATTTGTCTGGTCGACTAGTAGTCATTCATTTTAAGCATTAGTCGACTATTAGTCGCATGTTTATTAATAAACCATATAAATAATGAGCCTTTAATTGTCTACATAGCCTAGTAAGCACTCAAGTGCACGCAAAAAAAGCTTGCCACAGCACATCGGCAGATATAATATTTATGAATGTGTCTTTCATTTCATCTCGCCTGTAATACCTGATAAAGCGGCGTTTGTGAGCGCAGTGCTGCTTTGTGTACAGCCTTACCGTGGAAACCTCTATTTTTACCGCTGCAAAAGCGACACCTAGTGGCAAAGAATGAATTTGCATTTTCATTCAGACCAACGCGAAAAGACCAACAAGTGGACGGGCAATATGCTAATGTTTCATGTTGACGTCAACATGAAACGGCTTGGGATTCATTTTAAAAACGACTCGTTTCAATGATTCAGAGTCGACTCTTTCTTTTGAGAGACAATAACTTCATACACGGTGCACTTTCAGATTTAAAACTTTGCAGGATGTTTTCATTCACATAGAGCTGTGTTACACACTGCATGAAAGGTAATTTAAAAAAAATCCATAATAGGGGCACTTTAACATTATAGTTTTTGTCATTAGTGTGAACGGGCCTTTAAGGTGATTTTACCACAGGTAAGTAACCGCAGTAAAACCCCTGTCACATGACCTCTTGTACACCGCTGTATTCTGTGCGCGAGCGCAGTGTCAATGGCTCTTCTGCTGTGTTGCCATGGAAACTGTGTCCGAGATGTTCTGGAGATTGGACGGACACATGCAGTGACTGATGCATGAACGTCTCCTTACAGGAAGTTCCATCACGTGCGGAAGCACCTCCTGTCTCTGACTGGTCAGTTCAGCAGCATGGAACAGGAAGTGACCCTGCTCATGCAGCGCGTGTATCAAGTGAGTAAACAGGAAGTGCTGGGCGTTTAGCTGCGCTGTAACAGCACGCAGACGCTAATGGCTCTCATGTGTGCAGCTGCTGGAGCTGTTACCGCAGAAGATGGTGCCCATGACGTCTGGAGGAATCAAACCGCAGGCGTACCTCAGTCCCAACACACTGGTGGAGATGACGCTGGGGTGAGAGATAAGCACATGTCCGCTGACGCTGATTCACTCAGTCCAGATCATTACAGACTAAAAGCATCATCCCAGCTAACAATTTTTGGTTCCCAAGAATGTTCCCCGTTGGTTAGCCAGGAAAGTTTTCTGAACGTAAATAGAACGTTCCAGAATGTTTTCTTCAATTAGACGTGTCAAGTCACTTGATTAGTTTCTGAATGAATCAGCCGTTTGAACGAATCAATTGAATGAATGACTGAACGACTCACTCCTTAAAACAGCGACTTGCTGCCACCTACTGGCGCATTTACTTTTATATTTAGAGTATAATTTCTAGGGCTGCCCCCAACTAAAGATTTGTCTGGTCGACTAGTAGTCATTCATTTTAAGCATTAGTCGACTATTAGTCGCATGTTTATTAATAAACCATATAAATAATGAGCCTTTAATTGTCTACATAGCCTAGTAAGCACTCAAGTGCACGCAAAAAAAGCTTGCCACAGCACATCGGCAGATATAATATTTATGAATGTGTCAGGGAAAAACAGCAAGGAGACTGCATTAACATTTTAATAATTTATCGATAAACTAGTGCTTTCTTTGTTTTCGGCTTCAGAGATGAAGTCGGCGACACTGACTCGTCATCTCTGCAGTAGTGATGCATCTGTATGCATGTTTCATACGGATGACATAATCTGAGAATATTTACTTTCCATTTGAATTGGTTCATTTAAAAGCAGACATTTCACTCTTTATAGATATATTTTTCATGTCTGTAAGGCAAGTATACACGGAGTTTCGCGCTCAAGTTCACGGAGACCGAGACGGCAGAAAGCGTGTCCTGTTTGCTTTAATTATTTTACAAAAGCACAACATTTCGTTGTTATTGTGAGTGCACACAAGAATTTGAATGTAGATATTTTGCTATGTTTTTCATATCTGTAAGGCAAGCATACACGGAGTTTCGCGCTCAAGTTCACGGAGACCGAGACGGCAGAAAGCGTGTCCTGTTTGCTTTAATTATTTTACAAAAGCACAACATTTCGTTGTTATTGTGAGTGCACACAAATAAACGTAGAGTCTTTACAGATTCGAAAGATGCATTACTTTTATCTGTATGAGCAAAAATGCGGGAGTATTTTAAGAGCAAGGGAGCGCACCGGCGCCTCCATCTGTCCTGCAGTGAAGTGCTACTGTTCACACTCCACACAGACACTTGAATAGTGCACATTTTTCTAGGTTAACATTAGACTGAGCGGCCACATTGCTAATACTTAAATATTTCAGATGATAAGCCATATTTGAGGTCGATGAATGCCCGATGTACTGTATTACCACAAAGACCAGCCGTTAACGATCTGTCCGTCACGGACTGCATGACACTCATTTTTTTTCTGGGACTAATAACATTTTGGTCGTCCAAGCCTCTTCTCGTCGACTAACGGTTAGTCGACTATTAGGGGGCAGCCCTAATAATTTCATTGTTTTCTAAAATGCATTTGCTATTTCAATATGCTTAAAAAAACACTACACATTTTATTGTTATCTTTATTTATGCAATGCGTTCAATCTTAATATTTCTACTTTTATATAAGCTACTTTTTTGTTAATTGATGTGTGATCAATCCACAATTAATTGGATTAGTTAACCATCATATAATTAACTAGATTTAATATTTTAATCACTTGACAGCCCTAGTTATTTTATCTTAGAAATTAGCGTAGCGTCGTAAACAATCAGAGCCGATGATAATCAGGGGTGCGTAATCTAACAACAGGTGCAGAATGGGTTAATTTATCCAGTGAAAATTCATCGTCATAAACACATAATTCTGCTTCACAGGATGAAGAAGTTGAAGGAGGAGATGGAAGGAGTCATGAAGGAGCTGGCGGAGAACAACCTGTTCCTGGAGAGGTGAACCTTTACATTTACTTGGATTTCTATAGCGCTTTATACAATACAGAAACAGGAAAATAAAGTGTGAATGTTACAAAAGTCATCAAAGTGAAAACAAATTCAATTTCAGCTCTACAAAGGATGGTAGAGTCATTATTCAGATCAATTCGGTTCAAAAACAGTAGTAATTTGGGGTGTTGCAATATACAGTTGATGATCGTAATATTTAAATATTAAATATCATTATTGTGTTAATTAGGGGTGTCACAATATATGGCATTTACCATGATGATGAATCATAAAATGAAAAGTACACCTTGCTCACATGTAATTTGTTTCATTCATACTCACCACTGGAGGGCGCCCTTGCACAGATGCTCCACAAGAGAGACTCATAGGAGTAATAAAACAAATTACGTTCCAGGAAATCCCTTATATGGACAAGGGCATCCGTTATCACTGTAGCTGATAGAAATGCAGAAATGTTTGTCGGTGCCAATAGCCTCGTGGTTAGTGCGTCGACATACAGCGCAACTGCGCTCACGGCAACCCGAGTTCGATTCCCGTCTCGAGGTTCTTTGCCGATCCTGTTCCCTCTCTCCTCCCAGTGCTTTCCTGTCATCTCTCTGTACTGTCCCATCTATAAAAAATGCATAAAAGCCCATAAAATAAAAAAAAGAAATGCAGAAATATTTGGCTGATGAAACATGAAGTGAGTTAACACACTGTTGCGACAGTATATTCTTTATTTGTGTTCTTCAAGCCATCTCGGGTATTTTTTATAAGGACGATGTATATTTATAATGCAATGCTAATAGACATAGCCTTTAGCACTGTTCAGAATACTATAAAATAATATAATGTCTGCCTCATTCTGTGATGAGAAGCCACATCAGCCACATAACGCGAGTTTGGAGTAAAAATGTTGTTATTCGCATGTATTGTTGTACTTTGACGCAGTCAGTGATGGGAGAATCGAGCCTTTTCGAAGCTTTGAATCATTTGAACCAATTGCGTCGCAAAATGACTCACTGTTTCGAATCACTTGAAATGCTGGTAACGCCTGCTGGTCAAAAGCTGTAAATGCAACAAAATCTCAGCCCGAAACAGCTTTTAAGACTGATTGCAAATGTTTTATAGAAAGTATAATACAGTGCCGTGAAAAGGTTTTTGCCCCCTTTTTTTATTTTTTGCATATTTGTCACACTTGAAAGATTCAGATCATCAAACAAATTTTTATATTACACAGAGATAATGCAAGTAAATACAAAATGCAGTTTTTAAATGATGATTTCATTTATTAAGGGAAAAAAGCTGTCCAAACCTACCTGGCCTTGCGTGAAAAATGAATTGCCCCCTCCTGTTATATCATGAAAGTGCAATTAACCACATTATTTTAGAAAGCGGAGTTAAATTTCACTAGCCACACGCAGGCCTGATTACTGCCAGACCTGTTGAATCAAGAAATCACTTAAACAGAAGCTGTCTGACGACGTGAAGACAATGATCCCAAACACACCAGCAAGTCCACCTCTGAATGGCTCAAGAAAAACTAAATTAAGGTTTTGGAGCGGCCAAATCAAAGTCCGGACTTAAATCCGATTGAGATGCTTAAACAGTCCATTCATGCTGGAAAACCCTCCAATGTGGCTGAATTAAAACAATTCTGCAAAGAAGAGTGGGCCAACATTCCTCCACAGCGATGTGAAAGACTCATCGCCAGTTATCACAAACACTTGATTGCAGTTGTTGCTGCACAAACAGTTATTAGATTTAGGGGGCAGTTACTTTTTCACACAGGGCCAGGCAGGTTTGGACAGCTTTTTTCCCTTAATAAATAAAATCATTATTTAAAAACTGCATTTTGTGTAATATTAAAATTTGTTTGATGATCTGAATCTTTTAAGTGTGACAAATATGCAAAAAAAAATTAAAAACAGGAAGGGGGCAAAAACATTTTCACAGCACTGTATATTCAATTAACAAATCATTAGATAACATTAAATATTAAGTGTCTGTATAGCATGCTCTTTTATTCATTTGCAGGGCTTGTTTTGTTTGTTTTGTGGAGGGCTTGTCTAAACAGGCCAATAAGTGTAAATGGCCATGATAATAGTGTGATATTGTGACAGCCCAAGTATTAATAATGCAAAACCCATCAAACTGTAATTATGGTGGCGCTTGTGTTTCAGGTTCGGGACGCTGACGGTGGACGGCGGCATCAGAGCCGTGGATCGGATGTGACGAGGTCGTCTCTCTCGGATCATCACGGCACAAATGGACACACTGTTAGTTGTACATATGAATAGAATGTAAATAATACACGTCTTAAACTTTATGCCATTATTTTAATCTTGCGTTAATTCTCTAGACTCTATAAACTAGAGTTGCTCTTAACTCCGAATAAGTGATGTGATTTTTGTTCTCGCCATGAAAATAAAGTATATTCGTCATCATTATGATCTGTGCGGTTAGTAAACGCTCCTGCTCGTGTTGCTGAACGGTACTGAAGGACTCTGAAGATTCACTAAAGCAGAAGTGTTTTCCTTCAGTGTAAACGAAAGCACTATTTTATAGACATGAATGTTTGTTTCTGTAAATGAGTAAAAAGAACAGCTGAGTTCTGATAAAACCTTTGTGTTTCTAATTTCTCGCACCGCATCTGTACCCATAATGCTTTGCTTCTGTTCACAGATATCTTCGTGTAGTTCTGTGTGACCGAACAGACACTCTGAACCCGTACGATTCACGATTCATGTCACGCATGACCGCTTTAGCTGGTTGTATCGCATGTACCGGGAATTTTTGTCTTGGCGTATTCGCGATATGCAGCTGCTCTGAAAGCACCGGAAACACTGACACCGGGGGTCAAAGGTCAGCTGAAAATGTGGTTTCATGTCTGTAAGCTGCATTAGAAAGCATCGTCCTCCTCTCTGCATCTCTGGCGATAGTTATCAGTTGCCATGACAACAGACACAAAAGCACAGTCTCCTCATCCGCTGTTGCCATGGCAACACTCAGACATCCACTAACAGACGTGTAAAACGTGACGCTCATTTACATATTCACTGACGTCAGAACCAACCACCAGAGCGCGCGCGTCCTAATATCCTCAATCATGATGATAGTAAACACCATAGATATGCGGCATCTACCTACTACACGTATCTACGCTGTTCTACATTGGGGAGCAGAAAGGACTAGATAATTAACTAAACATGGTCACAGTAAACATGAACTGAACCAGAGCTCTGAAATAAAATGCAGAAATGTTAGTTTCACTGGCTCGATATTAACACAGTTGGTGAGCAGCCATTGTTCCCACGAGAAAACATGCTAAATAATGTCCTGATGAAACTGCGAGGAAGGACGGGACCAATCTGCTGCTACAGCAATCGATCACACAGAGCTGAATGAGAGAGAGAACTTAAAGGAAGACAAGTAACCTGGACTGAATAATAATAATAATTATTATTATTATTATTAATATTTGAAGTCATGCTTTAATACACATTTTGCAGTTACTCAGCGTGTTTCAAAACTATTATAGTAATTAAATAATTACATTTATATATTTAGTATTTGTTAAATATAATACAGAATATATATATATATATATATAAACTATAAACAATTGCATTTGCAGTAAGCACATACTCCATTTAGATAGATCCATTTCCAATGGTATAAACATAAAATTACATTTGAAGTTTGTGAATATGATTTTTTGAAATATTATAAAACTAAATATTTGTTAAATACTGTTTTGTTTATTTGTGTTTATTTATTATGTTCTCATATTTATTGGTTTATTTTTGTAATGTGTTTTTAAGTCATAATTTTATTACAATATATTACTGTTTGTGTGTGTGTGTGCTATATATAGTTAATATTTACTGTTCTGCATAGTGTGATTTTGTATATATATAAAAAACTAGGGGCAGTTTGATCCTCAAACATCATTATAATTATTACTTATATAATGAAATTTTAAATGTTTTAATAGGAAATGTCCCCAGTTTTCATTTCAGTAATCTGTGGACAATAATATAATATAATATGCAGAAATGTTTGCGTGAGGATAAGCTTTAGAGGATAGAAAAAAATATAATTGTTTATACAGTTTTAGAACTCGCATATGAATAATTCATGAGCTTCATGCCGCGTCACGGATCGACTCATTAGCATACACTGTCTGGAGCGCATGCGCGGATCTGCTCGTCTCGAGTTTGTCGCGACTGGATGCTGCGATTGATTTGTGAATCTGATGTAAAGAAAATATAAAGAAACACTCTAATGCTGATGAAGACGATGGGAATCGACGCGGATTCGTGATGGAGGAAATAACCGATCCGAGGAGAAGGAGAAGAAGCGCGTTGATGTGAAGAGGAGAAGCTGAGGTGCGTCTCCATCTGATCTGAAGCATCTGACAGAAACACGACGATTGAGTGAATGTGTGATGAAACTACACGATCTAGACATGACTGACGCGTTTTACTGATGCTCGACATCCACGGAGGCGATGCGCGTTTAATATATTCACACGTTATCCGTCATAAATCAGGGGTTCGAGCTGCTCTTGCGTTGATATGATCGTCGTGTGTAAGTATAAACGAGGGGTTTCCTCTCGAATCTAGAGTGAATCCGTCATGAATCTTTTGGGTTGGAATTGTTTTGAATCTCGCAGATGCTGCAGTGTGTTGAGATGAGATGATGAGATGTTGTCACAGCAGCCACCAGAGTAAACAACACACACACACTCACTGACACTCACTCACACACACACACTCACTCACACTGACACACACACACTCACTCACACTGACTCACTCACTCACTCACACTGACACACACACACTCACTCACACTGACTCACTCACTCACTCACACTGACACACACACACTCACTCACACTGACTCACTCACTCACTCACACTGACACACACACACTCACTCACACTGACTCACTCACTCACTCACACTGACACACACACACTCACTCACACTGACTCACTCACTCACTCACACTGACACACACACACTCACTCACACTGACTCACTCACTCACTCACACTGACACACACACACTCACTCACACTGACTCACTCACACACACACACACACACACACTCACTCACACTGACTCACTCACTCACTCACACTGACACACACACACAGACTGACACACACACTGACACTCACTCACACAC